TAAAAAAATATGACTAATGACTAGAGTAGTAATGAAATCATAGTAATTCATATTCAAGTTTTGAGCTTAAGTTACCACAACATCACATTGTAGTAATGAATAGTCATATATATGTAAATATGTTTTATTTTAGTAATATTCTTGTAAAAAAAAACCTTTATTAAACTAATAAACTTTTGTGAAGAAAATTTCACCAAATATTAGCAATGGAATTAATAAAAAATTAAATAAATCAAAACCTATGAAATGTTAGGTCCTAGATTGATAGTTTTTCATCTTTCGAGTCCTATACTGATACATTTCATCTTTCAGTTCCTGGATTGATAATTCGTCTATCTTTCAGATCCCAAATTATTAAAATTCCTTTAATGTATTCCCTAAACAGGACCAAATTTGATGGTATTCCAGTTCTGCCCTTCTCTCCCTAATCCTATGCGGTTATGCGCACAATCCGAGTTTTTTTTCGGATTAATGCGTTTTACTTAAGTATTTACGGAATTAATGCTGGGTTAAAACTATTTACCAATATAGTGTCGGGCCTAACTTGGGTTGGGCAAAGTCGCCAAACCGTTTGGCGACTTTGCCCTCCCCAAGAACGTTGACATCAAAACGTTCTGTTTCTACTACAAAAAAAATAGTTCGTTTGTCACGAAACTTTGTCACGGATCCGGGCCGTGACAAAGTTGTCATGATCGTTGTCACGGAAATGTTTGATTTGTCACGTAGAAGGTTTGTCACGGAAAAATTTGTGACAAAATCTGTGACAAATGTTTGTCACGGAGTATATCCGTGACAAACAGGCTCCGGTGATCGGTAATTCACTCCGGCCAAAATTTATTTACGTCCGGGCACTTTGTCACGGACGGATCCGTGATAAAATCCGTGACAAAATTCGCAAAAATTAGCACTTTTTAAATTTGAATATTTATTAAAAAGTGCGATTTTTTTTTGTTATTTTTTTAAAATATAAAAAGTTTGTCACGGACTCTGGCCGTGACAAATCTTAAACTTTTTAAATTTTTTTCAAAAAATATTCTAATTATTCCGTAAAAAAAATTTTTTTAAAAAAAAAAAAATTGTCACGGATAAATCCGTGACAAAATGAAAATATTTGAATTCAAAAAATTTCAAGTTACCCGCCTAGCCCATTTCGTATATTTCAAAAAAATATCGAAAAAACATTTGTCACGGATAAATCTAGGACCTGAAAGATAGACGAATTATCAATCTGGGAACTGAATGATGAAATGTATCGGTATAGGACCCGAATGATGGAAAACTATCAATCTAGGAACCGAATGATTGAAAACTATCAATTTAGACCTATGTTATCTTAAATTTTATTATTATTTTTAAAATAAAATAAAATAATATTTAGTTTTATTAAAGAAATAATTACATAAATATGACCAAAATAAAGATGATTTACAAATATATGACTAATGACTAGAGTAGTAATGAAATCATAGTAATTCATATTCAAGTTTTAAGCTTAAGTTACCACAACATCACATTGTAGTAATGAATAGTCATATTTATATAAATATGTTTTATTTTAGTAATATTCTTTTAAAAAACCCTTTATTAAACTAATAAACTTTTGTGAAGAAAATTTTACCAAATATTAGCAATGGAATTAATAAAAATTTAAATAAATCAAAACCTATGAAATGTTAGGTCCTAGATTGATAGTTTTTCATCTTTCGAGTCCTATACTGATACATTTCATCTTTCAGTTCCCGGATTGATAATTCGTCTATCTTTCAGATCCCAAATTGATAAAATTCCTTTAATGTATTCCCTAAACAGGACCAAATTTGATGGTATTCCAGTTCTGCCCTTCTCTCCCTAATCCTATGCGGTTATGCGCACAATCCGAGTTTTTTTCCGGATTAATGCGTTTTACTTAAGTATTTACGGAATTAATGTTGGGTTAAAACTATTTACCAATATAGTGTCGGACCTAACATGGGTTGGGCAAAGTCACCAAACCGTTTGGCGACTTTGCCCTCCCCAAGAACGTTGACATCAAAACGTTCTGTTTCGCCCACTACAAAAAAATAGTCCGTTTGTGACGAAACTTTGTCACGGATCCGGACCGTGACAAAGTTGTCATGATCGTTGTCACGGAAATGTTTGATTTGTCACGTAGAAGGTTTGTCACGGAAAATTCGTGACAAAATCTGTGACAAATGTTTCTCACGGAGTATATCCGTGACAAACAGGCTCCGGTGATCGGCAATTCACTCCGGTCAAAATTTATTTACGTCCGGGCGCTTTGTCACGGACGGATCCGTCACAAAATCCGTGACAAAATTCGCAAAAATTAGCACTTTTTAAATTTGAATTTTTATTAAAAAGTGCGATTTTTTTTTTAAATATAAAAAGTTTGTCACGGACTCTGGCCGTGACAAATCTCAAACTTTTTAAATTTTTTTCAAAAAAATATTCTAACTATTCCGTAAAAAATATTTTTTTTATAAAAAAATATTTGTCACGGATAAATCCGTGACAAAATGAAAATATTTGAATTCAATAAATTTCAAGTTACCCGCCTAGCCCATTTCGTATATTTCAAAAAAATATCGAAAAAACATTTGTCACGGATAAATCTAGGACCTGAAAGATAGACGAATTATCAATCTGGGAACTGAAAGATGAAATGTATCGGTATAGGACCCGAATGATGGAAAACTATCAATCTAGGACCCGAATGATTGAAAACTATCAATTTAGACCTATGTTTTCTTAAATTTCATTATTATTTTTATTTTAAAAAAAATAAATAATATTTAGTTTTCTTTAAGAAATAATTACATAAATATGACCAAAATAAAGATGATTTACAAAAATATGACTAATGACCAGTGGCGGACCCAGAAAGTTGGAGCCACGGGGTCCCTACCCTTATATATCTTTGATCTCTAATTAATATAAAACTAATAAAAATATATTAAAGAAGCATAACCCTTCAAAGTAATCAGACTTCGCTTGTTCAGATTGTTTCACAAAACAAGCTTCAATACTTTGTTTTTGGTTCATCAAATCTTTCGATCTTTTCACCGCATTGTAATGAGGACTGTTAGGTTTACCAACATGTAAATAAAACCTATCTTTTTTATTCCATGCTGAAAACCCAATTCCCAAAAAATGATCACCACCAACTTCTCACTCATTCTTAAACAAATAACATGGCAAACAAAATGCAGCATCTTTGGCAATACTGTATTCCAACCATTTATGCTCATCAAACCAACTTGAAACAAATCTACGTTTTTTGCCTCCAATTAACTTAAAAGGGAAATCATGGTCCCGAGGTTGAAATGGTCCTTTTTGAATGTAACTACGACGTACCTCGTCTTGAACATTAGGGTGAAAATTAGCAATCCTTTTTCTCAATCCATGATCAGTTTCAAAAGATTCAAAATTCTCATGTTGTTCAGGTAGATTATTATAAGCCAAATTAGCTTCACTTTCAGCAGTTACTTGATCCAATTCTTCATTTACTAATGGTGGATCATTTGAATTAACGCCCGAACTACTCCCGGTACTTTGAGTTTCTTTAAATTTGGGTACAACATCAAAATATCTTTTCATCCTAAATCATATAAAATTGAAAATAACATTTATAAATACATGAATTTATTAATTTAATCTAACATTAAAAAAAGATATGCAAAAAAAGAAATTAAAAGAACGACGTAGTTTTGGACTTTTGGTATATTTATATTTAATTTAAAAAATTGAAAAGCCTAAGTTTTGAGCATAAAGAAAATCGCACTAAAAAACTTGAGAAACGCCATTAATGGAGAAAAGAAGAGAAGAGTACCTTAATGGATTGGCCGCTTCCCGCTTGATTGATGATGAAAAGGGAGAGACTGAGAGACATAGTGCAGAGACTCCAGAGAGCCAATCAGCCAGAGAGGGGTGTTCGCTGTTCGGTGTTCCTGTTCCGTGTTCGCCAATCACTGTCGCCGGTGCTCGGTGGTCGTCGGATCGTCGTGCAGTCGGACAGTTCGCGCGCAGTTGGGGCCTGGGGGGATCGCAGCCGCTGCTTCCACTCTTCCCGCGACGAGCGTGAAAGGAAAAGACTCAAAAGAGGGCTGGGTGCCTGGGTCTAAGTTTTGGGCCTAAGTTCGAAAAAAATATGGGTTGGGCCTTCCGTTAAAGACAAAAAAATGCCCAAACAAAAGGAAAACAACGGGATTCGATCCCAGAACCTCCCATAAAATAGATACTTTGCACCCGTGCCTTATCCGGTTCCTCTTCTCCATTCTTGTTGTTTTAAAGTGGCTTTGTGTGTAAAAATACATTGAAAAATTAATTTTAAATAATATATATATAATATATATAGGTTTTTTTTCGGAGGTCCACGGGGTCCCGGGACCCCTTGGGACCCTTAGTGGGTCCGCCACTGCTAATGACTAGAGTAGTAATGAAATCATAGTAATACATATTCAAGTTTTGAGCTTAAGTTACCACAACATCACATTGTAGTAATGAATAGTCATATTTATGTAAATATGTTTTATTTTAGTAATATTCTTGTAAAAAAACCCTTTGTTAAACTAATAAACTTTTGTGAAGAAAATTTCACCAAATATTAGCAATGGAATTAATAAAAAATTAAATAAATCAAAACCTATGAAATGTTAGGTCCTAGATTGATAGTTTTTCATCTTTCGAGTCCTATACTGATACATTTCATCTTTGAGTTCCCGGATTGATAATTCGTCTATCTTTCAGATCCCAAATTGATAAAATTCCTTTAATGTATTCCCTAAACAGGACCAAATTTGATGGTATTCCAGTTCTGCCCTTCTCTCCCTAATCCTATGCGGTTATGCGCACAATCCGAGTTTTTTTCCGGATTAATGCGTTTTACTTAAGTATTTACGGAATTAATGCTGGGTTAAAACTATTTACCAATATAGTGTCGGGCCTAACTTGGGTTGGGCAAAGTCGCCAAACCGTTTGGCGACTTTGCCCTCCCCAAGAACGTTGACATCAAAATGCTTTGTTTCAGACCGACGTCGGTCGTTGGCCAACCAGGGCCGGTTGGGCGGCCCCCGGTGGCGAAAATTTTCGTTTTCCGTCTTAAATCGATCCTGATTGTCCCAGTTCACCGTTTGGCGACTTACAGAACACATACAAAACAGAAATTGGTAAAAAATGATACAAAATGACACAAATGCTCATAAACACGTTTTAAAAATTCAGTATAAACATCCAATATATATAACCAAACACGTCATAAATACATGAAAAAGTACTAATAACACAATATCCCCTCTCCCGTTCTTTTCTTTCCTTCCCCATCCTTTCTCTCCTTCCCCACCCCTTTTCTCCTTCCCCATCCCTTATCATGCATCTGCAACCATCATAAATCCATATCTCTATTTCTATTTTTTCTCTTCTCTTCGATAATAAGTTTAATTTTGTTCTGCCGATCTCTATTTCTTCATCTCCGACGATTTTCAGTGCTATGGACGATGAATTTTTCTCTTCACATTTCTGACCACCAGGGAGCGGCGAGCGGCGGCGAACGATGAGCGGCCACCAGTGGACGGCAACAAGGTATGGTTGAATCTTCTTCTCCTCCTCCTCCACCACCATCTCTGTTTTTATTATTTGCCAAATTTTTAGTTTTTTTTTTATTTCATGATTTTTTTTTGTTTATTTTGATATTTATTGTTTGATTTTTTCTTAATTTTTTAATATGAAATTGACATAAGTGTTATTATTTTCCCTATTTAATATAATCTATAGAAAATTAATTTCAGAACTATTTTAATTTTATGGGATTACCTTACATATATGTTGTTACTTTGAATCTGAAAATGTCACTTCAAGAATGAATGCCATTTTTTGGCACTAACATTACGAAGATGGCAATACTAGCCATTTTGAAAAATATTAATGTCATGTTTTTTAATTCGAAAATGCCATTTTATTTCTGTCACGATGACAATAATGTCATTAAGATGCATCACAACTGCAAGATGGCACTAAAGTTGTAGTCATACCAGATTCCAGACCAGATTTAAGATCTAAATTGATTGACTCATCGAAGGCAGCGGTGCCAGACGGTGCCATCGTGGTGTTGGATGAGGCATGGTGGTGTTGGATGAGGCAGCGGCATCGTCAGATGTGGCGGCGATAGCGCCGGACATGGCGGCAGCTGCCAGCAAGGCTGGATGAGGTCACAACTGGGGTGGCACCTCTGGTGGTGGGTGGCGGCGGTGGCGCCGATGCCGATGGTGGATGTGGCAGCGGTGTATAGGGATGATTGTGCGTGGTCCTCTTGTGGTGCTGGATGTCTCACATTTTTATTACTCCGTATTATTTTATTTTGTGTATTATTGATAGGGAATATTGGCAGTCCATCTCTTTTTAGTCTTACGGAACTTATGAGTCCTATTGGTGCAATTATAACAAATTAAGGGTAACATTGGCAGTCTATCTCTTTTTAGTCTTACGGAACTTGTGAGTCCTATTGGTGCAATTATAACAAATTAAGGGTAACATTGGCGGTCCATCTCTTTTTAGTCCTATTGGAATCACGCAAAGAATACCAAATTTAGTATGAGACAATGTTGGTGAGATGGATTGGAAAAGAAAGATTAGAAAATTTTGACGAGGGCATGTTTCTTATTAAAAACACTCGAGTGAAGAGACTTACAACCTGATGCCTGATAACCAAAACATCGAATTATAATTTTACAACATATTTACATATTCCCATTGCAATGAACTTAAAGGGCAGATATACGTTTCTACTGTGAACAACAAACAACTATTCAGCTGTGGATAGCAAGTATTGAGCTTCTCCCATGAACTGGGACGGGGTCACACCATTATTTGATCTACATTGGCAATCAACAGTGAAAACATGAATTTTCCACTTGTCAAACAGAGACTAAGAAGAGCTAGGCTAGAGTTTGTGATGAGCTCTGGTAAATTTCATCAACATGACCTGCCGGTACATAAACGGCATCTTGCAGCCTGCTGTGGTTTCGGCCATAGAGAACATATATGGATATACCAATTAACAGCCATATTCCAACTCGAGCCCATGTTGCAGCACTGTAAATTACAAAAGGTGAATCCATCACATGAAAGAGATTTAGGCAATGCTTGGAACTCGGAAATGGCAGGAAAGGGTAAAAAGTGTACCTCAGGAAAACGGTTTTTAAATGTTTGGCTTTACCTTAGAATATACAATGGATTTTAACATAAATAAAAAGTTCTAATTTATCTGTGTAGTTTGATTAGAAATTTTAATTTAGTTGCATATAGATATATGAGTGGTTATATAATGGATAAATATAAATAACAAGAGTTCAAATGAAGGAGTTTGAATGAATATCAATTTTGGTTTAGTGTGATTGAACACTTTTTTTCAACTACAGTTTCTCCATTCAATTTTTTCATTATGTTTTCCTACCTTCGTTCTTTTTCTTAGCATTTGCTGAGTTCCAACTGGACCCTTAAGTATAACGGGAAGAACCGAAGAACACATAGAAGTGCCTCAGAAATTAGCATAGACTTACCCAAGATTTATCAGCAGGTATACATTGATGAGAATGGAGAGAATTGGCAGAAGTGGAACACATGGGCAAACAAATCCTGGACAAAGAACATCATACATTGATTCAGCAGAATGTAAATGAGAAGACAGTTTTTAAATGGTTAGCGTTTTAGTAGCAGAATGTAATTGAGCAGACAATTTTCAAATGATTAGCATTTTAGTGAAATGCTCCGTATCATTTAATCAGTAAATCAGGAACTATGTGACAAAAGAAATTTGCAGGAGTGACATACCTCCTGAATGTCCAAAGCTGTGGCGGGCTACATCTTGTTCTATGCTCATAAGCACAACAAGACCCGAGAGTACTAGTAAGCCGCCAATCCCAGAAAATGTAAACCTCACAGAACTGGTCATAGAATTAACTAATAATTTAATCAGTTGATCAATGAAATTTCACTTGACGATAATAGATCACATTGCAGGAAAAAAGTTACTTTTTATTTTATTTTCCAACTGATCAAGAAATAATGCCTTTGATCTCATGTAGAAAGTTAGAAACAGTTATTTTTGTAAGCAGACATTTTTTCCTTTGATTGCTTAAAACTATATTTCACTTTGTTATATAATGTTTATCTATATAAAAATTAACACTAAAAGTTTTTTCTTTTTACCAAAACATCAATTTCAACTTAATTTTCAAACAATACCAACTTTTAAATGAAGCACTTAACTTTTTCTATATTCTATAAAATAAATCACTTCTCACTAGCGGAAGCAAACACAAACTCACAAATACAACTTAAGTGTTGAATATCAAAGTATGAAAAATGTGATAGCAAGACATATAAATATATAGCATGACACATTGCAGAGAATGACTATATTCTATATGGGGAAGGCGAGTGTAAAACGCACTTTGGCATGCCAACAGTCGAAGCAGCAGAAGTAAGTACAAGCACCCCAAGACACGTGACCATGATGGTCCATCCAGCAATTTTCCTCCTTTGGTTTACTAAAACTGCCAAAGGCTTAGAAAGTAAATGTCACATAACGATTTGAGTAAACTGTATTTCAATCCCATATTTTTATGGGTTGGCAATGCTAGACCCGTTATATTTTTGGAAATATAGATCCATTACTTCGAAAACATTATCAATTTAATCCCAAAGTCACCACAAATGGAACCAAAAGCTAGAAAGTACACTTCGAAAGGGGACCGTGTGGATGGATGTTAATGTAACAATTTTATTGATCTTTAAAATGCCAAGAGGGCCTTTTTAAAATGTTGATTGCCTACTTTTTTCGTAACATTGAAATCTTGAATTGAGAGATGGGGAGAGGAGGCATGGGACGACCTAGACCGACGTAGATTAGAGCGGTGAAGAATATGGTACTTTTTTAGTAGAGAGTATACATGTGGAGTATTGATCTGATTTTGTTTGTCTCCCTTTCAATTTATTATTATTATTATTATCATTATTGTTTATTATTTTTAACTCTGGTGTCATATGTTGATCATGTTACCCAACGCTACTGTTATGGATTAAGGCTTGGATGTTGAAATCTTGTCATTTTAAAATTTGATAAAATTGTGGCATCACAAAAAATGCATTAGACCCCAATCTGAACAATACTATCTCGTGAATTTTGCAACTTTTGTTGCTTTGAGATTATATTTAAACTATTGACATTTTACATGTGATGACTTTAAATTGCTAAAAATAACTAATGCGACAAGTTTTTTACCCCTATAGTTATGGACCAACAATGCACTTTACCCTAATAAGTTATACACAAGATACAAAACTCATAAATATTGAAAATGACAATTACAACAGAAATAACTTACTGCTAAGTTGTGCTGCTGCTTTCTCTAGAAGAGGATGCGCAAAGGGTGCCTTCAGTAACAGTGGAATGGCCTCATCTGAGGCAATAATATCTGTTCTGATACTCTTAACATCAACATTCACACTATTATAGTGCAAACTTACTGAATCTATTGCGTCCTGAAAAGATGATGGAAGGGGAACCTCATCTGGTGGAACGTAACGTAGTACGAGGACAGAAATTGCAACCATTGTGAATGCGAGAAGTGTACCAACACTTACCTGCACATTGAATTTCATGTTAATCCTGGGGTATATTTAGGTCAAGGAAAAATATATGGAAATGGAAAATTTGTCAAGGAAAGTTACTCTCTCTGGTTTGGTTTTTCCATGGTAAAATAATGGAAAATGGAATACAAATATAGTTTTTAAATATTTACGTACATATCTATTTTTCAGTGTTAATATAGTAGATATAAATAAAATGAGTTTGAACAAATAGCTAAAACAAAATCATTGAGTTTGAGTCTTATCATTTATTTTACTGTAATTTTCTATCATTCTACTTTTCTCTTTCCAAACCAACCCTTAATGATATGCATACCATTCCAGACAACTGGTCAACGTCCATTACAAATGCCAAGGTTCCAGCAAACAAACCAGTTACTAAGGTGCTCTTCAGAGGAACTTGAGTATTTTTGTTCACATCTGAAAAGAATGATGGAAGCAACCCATCCCTTGCCATTGCCATAAGTATTCGTGGCTGATAAACAAAAAAACTCGTCTCATCAGACAGCAAATGTAGAATGTTTATATCTTGATGAATATAACGTTTCTAAGCACAAGTAAAAGGGGACTGAAATGTTATATGATCACATATCATAATGTTTCTGATTTTATAAATTATAAATAACTATAGACTGATTTCTTCAAACAATCTCTTAATCACTAAGAGAGCATCTAGCACAATTACTTTTCATTTAATAATAATAATAATAGGAGTAAAAATAAAGTAGTAGTAGTAGTAGTAGTAGCAGCAGCAGTAGCAACAATAACAACAACAACAACAATAACAATCATAATAATAATAAGGCAAGCGTTAGCCATAGCTATAGAGAGCTTGTTTGGTTCGGAGATTTTAGAGGGGGCGGAGGGTAGATGGTTGTGAATAAAGTGACGATAAGACATTACAGATATATATGATTTAACTGATCATACAATTATGTTAGCCTAAAAGATAAGTTGGTAATATAAAAATTAACTCTCTTCGTCCGTCTGAAATCCCCAAACCACACAAGGGTATGGTCAGCATGATGATCTCATTCAATTAATGTACCTGAGGTAAGAGAGAACCCATCAATGTAGAGCACAAAGCAGTACATGCTCCAATTGTTACAACATAGCTGTGACAGAACAGCAAGAGAAGATTGTGTAAGCCAGAAAAATTAATAAAAAGGTAGCTACTGACGTTGAAATGTCACACATATAAGAAAATGCTTACTTACGCTGCCCATTTGATTCCATGGTTTTGAAAAGCAGAGGAGATTGGGGTATCCGGATCCATAGCATAGTAGGGGACTAAACCTACAATTACAGCTGACACTAACATATACAAGGTGCAACATATTGACAAAGCCAAACCAATCCCCATTGGCAAATCACGTTGAGGATTCTTCACCTGTGCCAAAATTGAATTTCAGTGATGAAAAATACATCCTTAATTATCACATGTACTGTCATGAACATACTATATTTAGGGGTGTGTTTTGGTGATGGTGGTAGACTGGTAGTAATAACTAAATGCTCCATCCGTCTCAAAACAATGAACTTTTTAGAAAAGTGTGCACATATAAAGGAACCTTAAAAACAAAAAAAAAATCACACCACCAGTTGGGAAAATAAAGTTATGGGGTCCATGTGGGTCCATGAAAGTATTTCAACATTTTGTAATGCAAAAAGATCAGAGTCACCCACATAGACTCCTTATAAAGACTACCCCAGTGATGCTTCTACCCTTATTTAAGTTTAACATTAAATGCATTTCATTTCTTTTCAAGGAACAAAAACGTTTAATGCAGGAGTGCAAGACGCGCTAATATTGGAGCATTTGGAAGGTTAGTAAAATATATGCATCGAATTCCTAAAAAGAAAACAGATTAATTTGGGATATAGGGAGTATATGGAACAAGACCTCCTCGGCTGTGCTAGCAACTGAATCAAAGCCAATGTAAGCAAAGAAGACAGTTGAAGCCCCCGCAAGCATTCCATCAACTCCAAATGGGAAATAGCTGCCAGTCAAATAAACACTAATGGTATACTTGTAGGAATCAAAGTAATAAGTAGTTGACAAGAAGGGACGGCGTTTACCCAACAGGAAGATCATAACCAGGCCACCCAGTTTTAAATCCGAGATATCCCCCAACAACAACAACAAAAATCATGGCACATATGTTAGCCGTTGTGACAAATCCTTGCACCAATGTACTCTGAAAAAAGCCGAGGTAGATTAAGAGCAGCACAGCAAATGAGGAATAATTATTTAATTGAAGGATTTATGAATAGTTGGGGGCATCAAGTAGATATAGATCCTGTTTGATAAGGCAATTTTAATACTACATACATATCTAAATAAGCTATATAAAATAATATCTCAAAAAAGGTAGAATTTTAGATTTCATACACTTAGGCAAAGAAAGAAGTAACTTTATCACTGATTCTTTTTCGTTCTCAACTGATTCAGCAAGCGTACTAAATTAAGCAAGTATTTGGTGAAAATATTGTTGATGAGGCTGATAAGCAGAAAATGAAGCCTAACAAACAGGATCTTAATGTTCAATTATGTTAGTTGCTAAATGCATACCTCCTTGATTCCCAGACACAGAAGACCAGTCACAATACAGACTAGAAATGCTGCACATGGGTCCACCACAATGTTAATCCCAGGGATTGTGTGACGAGCTAAAAAGACTGGGAGACTGCCTTCACTTCCAAAGAGTAGTGCCTGCCAAATAAATAATGAAAATAATTTAATAAAAGCATATCAGCGTGTAGTAATAGATTAAAACACTCCTTCATGCGTATGAGCATATCACTCGTGATGTATTATGAAAGGATGATCTAGTCTAGTTTGGAAGGATCATCTTCTGTACGAATCCTATACTTTTTTTCCATAACTACACAGTACTACACATGCACCAACTTTAAACCACCAAAGAGTAACAGAAGATAATAAAAAATTATGAAATTTTGAATGAGGGCTAAATGGTACGGAGTATAAGTGATACAATGCAGATTCCAAACAATATCTGCATTTAACCATATACATACTATAAATATATGCAAATATATTCACGTCACCAGATTAGGAGATATGCCACGTGCTACAGCCGAACCACCAATCGTGTATTCCAATATCAGCCCCCATCCAACCAACCAGGCAACTCTGATAGGAAATCAAAATATTTCTTTAGTAAGAGTGTGCACGTTTTTAAGTCATGTTAGTAAAGACAGATTGTTTTTTTTTTAAGATTTTATCCTAGCTAGCCAATAAGATAGTTAGATCTCTTGGGGCATGTCAACGCATCATGCATGGCACTGCCCGGTCTTACCGCTTTCATCATTAGTAAGACCGGCCTTGTCATGCTTATTATAATCCTAACAAAGCAAGATTGTCTTTCCTAGTCACATTATGGCATCTCCTACAACTATAAATACTCCATTTTCAGTGCAACGAAAGGGATCTAACCTAAATTGACTACACTAAATAAGTCGAAATTCATACTTCACTTCATAAACTCCTTAACTCTCATACTATTATCTCTATCATGATTGTGCATGGCATACAAATAAGCACTAAAGTAGAATTCTGATATGGTATCGCCCCAAAAGTCCCTTTTTCCTTATCGAGTTTTTGCATATATACTAAATCTTAATGTGCGATTACTTATTTAATAATTTTCCAAGAATAATTCATTATATGGAGTAATGTTTGCATGTAGTGTTGTATCAAGATCTACTAGATTTGCGTTGGGTCTTTAACACCAAAAAGAGAAAATTTAAATTTGATCCTCTTCACAGGCACATTAATCTCATCTCCTAAACCAGTACTACACATGCACCAACTCTGAACCACCAAAGAGTAATAGAAGATTTAAAAAGCTATGGAACTTATAAGTAATACCCCTACTCGCCATTTTAGCAAAAAGTCGTACTTATTAAGTTATTAAATCCAAAACTCTATATTAATACCATTTAATGTGCCCCTCCCCCAAGTAAAAAGTCATCATTATCATCTCTAAGAGAGAGGCTATGATGGTAATACCCTTCACCGATGCATATGTAAGAATAATGGTATGCACTCCCAGCTGAAGGACATCTACTAGAAAGTTCAGCATAGCAGAAGGCAGAGAGAGCAGCTGCTATCCCTGCTATCAAAAAGGAAAAGGCAAGGGCTGGTCCAGAATGCTCTCTAGCAACTGTTCCAACTAGAATATATACCCCTGCACCTATTGTTGAACCAACACCTGGTACACAAAAACCAAGCAATCAGTTACAGATAGCAATACCACTGCTCATAATACTAACTTTTCAAGTTAATAAACTCATTTTACTGTTATAGATACAAAAAACATGTGCATTTAAGCATTCAAAAGAAGAAAAAGAAAATCTTTTTTATAATTAAGACTTTTTTATTCACATATGAGACCATATATAGAAGAAATCTCTACAACATGAAAGACTATATAGGTAAGAACACCAACACCCTTGGGGTAAATGGAAGAAACGAATAAAATATTGCCAGACCCGGATCCGAAAGTAATGCCTGATAATTCTAATTACCTATAGCAATGAGATGAGGGACACTCAAAGCCTTAGCCAACTGAGGATCTCTGCCATTCCCAGAAGACTTTGAAGTAGAGGGAGACTTTGAATGGCCGGAAGCTGCAGAATCAACCCGCTTCCTCCTCGCGATGCATCTCAATCCACCAGCCAAACCGGCACCGTCACCGCAGCCACTACTAGTTTCCTTACCCGAAATGAATCCCATCACAAATCTTCAATACAGAGCTTTCTATACTAAAAAATTCGACCTATACGCTTCCTATCTGTGGTTTTCTGTAATCTATATATGATCGGAAAGTGGCTCTTTCCGAGCAAGGAAATAGTTCGTGGAGAAATGGAAAGAAAGCGGTGAGAGGCGGAGCTGCCTTCTTCCTGCGATCAGAGAAGGAGGAAGGTCGGCCGGAGGCAGAGAGCAGCTGAGAAGAATGGAATTTGCCGGCCGACCAGCCGCTCCTAAAAGGACAGAGAAATCTTCCACTTGCGTGGGGCAGAGTACGCCTAAGTTCTACGTAATACGGAGGACTCCGTATTACTGTGCTGTACCGGTACTTGTCATTCGCCTGATATTCTCTTCGGACAGTGCTTATAAAATTTATATGAAATTTTTTTATTTTTGATCTTTCAAATGAGATCAATATTGTCTATGTAATTTTAATTTTTTACATTCATACATTTTTTTGTAATACTCCGTATATTTTTATATGCATACACTTTTTCTATAATATATTTTTTGATCACTTTTATATGTTTTTATAGGTTTTTAAGATATTGAGTTTGTTTATTTTGTTTCTAGCTTGGAGTTACATTTGATAATATACGAAGTTACGTCATCTTATACTCCAGTTACAAGTTATTATGTGTGAGTTAGATCTTGTTATGTGTGAGTTACATCTTGTTATACACGAGTTACATACTTTTATGCGCGAGTTACATGCAATTATGCGTGAGTTACATCTTGTTATGTGTGAGTTACATCTTGTTATACACGCGTTACATACTTTTATATGCGAGTTACATGTAATTATGTGTGAGTTATATCTAATTATTTGTGTTTTTTACTTATATTTATCTTGAACTAATTCAATTATAACTGAATTAATTTTTTTCTTTGGCAATTTAATACAAAATTTTATTAATCCACATAAAATAAGTATATTGTATTTCATATTCATACACTATTTTTCAAATGATAAAAATGAAAGATGTAGTAGGGGTTTATTTCGTGGTGTAACTCACATACATTAAGATGTAACTCATGTATATTAAGATGTAACTCGCGTACAATAAGATGTAACTCGCGCAGAAGAAGATGTAACTTCATGATATATTATCAAATGTAACTTCAAAATAATTTGTTAAAATTACATAAGCAATATTGGTCTCATTTGTTAGATCATGAAAAACAAAAAAAATTGATATAAAATTTATAAAAATAGAATATCAAATATAAAGGTTATTACAATTTCTAACAATAAAAGAAATAAAAAAATATGTATAAATTGCGTTGTTTTGCAATCGGGCGCACCATCTTCATGGTGTGCCGAGTGCGGGGTATAAACTGGGCTCTTCGGAAGGGTCAAAGTCAAACCTCCTTAATATTGCTCACCTATAGGCTATAGCCACCTAATTTGGGGTAATACGTACATTTCCTTCTTTCTTTTTTGAAAGAAAGAATACATTTCCTTCCGTAATTGCTTTTTCATATTTCTATTTTTTGAATCTTAAACTATATTTCATAGATTGACTGAAGTTATTTTAGATATGATTTTAGTGTTATTCTTATATTTTTTTCTTTATTTTAAGGAAAAATTGATTGTAATAATCTTAACTATTGGCGGTACGCTCATAATAATCCCAACAATCGATTATTTCAGAATAATCAACTTTAGGGATCTTCCGCCAATAATGGTCCGATGTGACCGACTATAAATAAATTCCTATAGTTTCTAAAGAGATATAGTAGGTAATCCCTATAAATAATCCCAAATTTTTACGCTTAATTTATATTAAAAAATCACTTGTTATAGCAGGTAATATGCAGTCATGGACCATTATTGGCGGACGGTCCATATAGTTGGTGGGATTATACAAAAATAATCAAAAGTTGGGATTATTGTTAGCGGACCGACAATAGTTGAGATTATTATTTTCAATTTTTCCTTATTTTAATAATAGAATTGAATGCATTTTTAATAGTGGTATAATTTTTCCATGATTAAGTAGTTTCAGTCAATTTTACTGTTTCAGTCATAATTTAATTCATTTCAATAGAATCAATTAAATCAGCTAATTTTAATGTTACCAAATGAGTCCAAGTTTTCCACATTTGTAAGTTAGCTGGCTTTTCAAACTCTATCACGCCTTATACTAAAATTTACTAAGTTTTCAATGTGATTTTAATGTTTTACTAGTAAGAAGTAAAACATTTCCGGTTATATATATGTTTATGGTCTTTAAATGCTAAGCTTTCAACATCTAATAATTAGATATCTAGCGGCGGATGCAAGAATTCCTGCTAAGAGGAGCGGCAGTGTAAAAATATAGATACAAATACATACAAAATATATATTAAATTTCAGAGTAAATTTGGGAGAGGAGGTGGTTAGTCCCCTTTGGGTCACACATAAATGTATGAAAAAAGTGTCACCCTAACTCAAAAAGTACATCATATTGATGTTTGGACGGGCAAAAGTGATTCAAGTTTTTCTTTTAAAATTAATGAAATAAAATTAGAAAAATTGTCAAATAGATCCTCATGTCATGTTTGAAAAGTCAATAAAGCTATTGTACTCAATATTCACTCAATCAAACACATTCTAATTTGAATAAAAAACGTTCAATTTAGCTTTTTAACTACTCCATGTGAACAACTCATTAGTAGGTCAATATGTACATATGGGACATATGGCGATCCATGTGAACATTTTCTATTTCTTTTTGCCCCCCGTTTTGTTTTCTTTTTTCTTTTCTTCATTCTTGCTCTGTTCCTTTTGCTTTCTTCTTCAACGCGCTCAAACAATCTTAAAGAGAAAATTTTGTGGACAAGAGTGAAATCAGTAAATCATTAATGGAATGCACAAATAGAAGCCTAATGTTTATAGAAGTGAAAAATGAAAATGACATGAGTTGATCAAATTGCCTTTAAAATTAAAAGCCTTTGTACTCAGTAATCACCCAATCAAACACTCCAATTTAAAAAAGATGTTCAATTAAACTGTTTGTTGGGATATTGGACCAAAGGCCCAAAACCCGGGCCAAAGGCTCAAAATACCCAGTCCAATAAATAACCTGGAATCCAGAAGAAGAACATGCCCAGTAGGATATATACCCCGGACGGGGATTGGGTCCACCAGTGTACTTGGGCCAGATCAAGGATGTTTCCAGCTTGGTCCATCACCCCGAGCGGGCAACGGATGGCTGGCAAGTAGCAAGGAGCATTTATTGCTACGAAGAGACCTCAACAAGTGGGAGTATGAGCATTCAAGTGGCTGGATTAGAAACCAATCAGCATGGAGCACCTCATACCCCTCATTAGTATAAATAGATGGATTAATATCATTGTAAGGGGTTAGCATTTTGATACTCAAGGTCTAGAATAGCTTTATTACTTTTGTTCTTGTATTAATCACTATACCGACCTACCGTTCGGGAAGTTTCCTGTGTAATCAGCGAATTGCATAATACAAGTGGGCTCTTGAGCATATTATCATTCAGCTTTTATATTTCCTTATACCCTCGATCTGTTATCCACATCCTGAAATATCCAAAGCATGTGTTGGGCTTTCGAATCTACGGGACTAACCCTCAACGTTGGCACCGTCTGTGGGAAACTTGAAGAAAAAGTTTCAAAACCAACAAATTACCCAAACATCAACCTATTACCAAAATGATCATAATCACCTCTCATCATACTGGTGGAAGTTCTGGGAGATGCGAGGACAGCAGGACTCCCCAAGGGCAATCTAGCTGGGGGTCGTACCAACATTTTGATGGGGATTTCTTCATCCCCGAAGCACTGAGGAGGAACCCCATGCCATGAGGGATCTAGCTCAGGTCATGCAACACTTGGCGGATGAGCAAGACGTGGGGCGATCCAGCTATACTGGGGAAACCAGGTACACGAGCCCATCCCCACTCCGATCGATGCAATCATTCGATGAGGAGACCGCCGATACAGAAACCACCACGGCTTCGAACCATTTACGAGCCCATCGGCGAGATCACCGAAGGACTCACACGTCAAGGGGCAGGCAGCACACTCCCAGTGACCACACCCCGATCGGGTCTCGAGCCAGAGGAGATACGCCAGTCGGGCGCCATTTCCATTATGGAGAATGTGACAACGCCAGATGCAGGCATGAACGTCGAAATCAGAGAACGCCCCCATCGGATGGAACCCGAGAGTTTGTCAATTTGGCAACTCCACCACCGCCTCCCCTAACAGCCCAAGAGGAAGAGATGACCGAAATGAGGAGGCAGATGAATGAAATGAGGGACCAGATGAACAGGGCACCTCTACAACCTACCCCGGTGCGAGTCGGGATCACTTCCCCCTTTACTCGAGAAATAATGGATGTCAAAATCCACAGGGATGCCAAACCGCCGACCGGTCAGATATATGATGGGGCGGGAGACCCCCATGTGCATTTGAGAAGTTACCAAGGGGGGCTCATGCTGTTGGGAGCAACGGAGGCGGCCATTTGCCAGCTGTTTTTTAGCACGCTCAGGGGACCTGCCCAGGAATGGTTCAGGACCCTGCAAACAGAATCGATCGGTAGCTTTGACGAATTATCATCCTTATTTCTGACCCAGATTGCTTCTAGTGCCACCCCAAAACGGCATTTCAGCTACCTGAATAATGTTAAGCAGGGGCTAAAGGAGACCCTCAATCAGTTTCTGAAAAGATGGAGGGATGAAACCCTAAAATTTGGAAACATGATGGATGATACAGCAATCACCCTATTCACTAACGGCCCCGAACGGGTGAACTGTATAAAGATTTGAAAAAGAATACGGGCACGGTGTATGCCGAAGTGCTGGACGGGGTCCGAAAGCATGCAGCTCTGGAAGAGGACATCATGATCAGGGATAAGGTAGCTACACCCCTTGCCCCAACCAGATTGGTCGATCGTCCTCCAAAGCTAGGATGATTCGCCCCTTTGGGCCTGTCTGTTGCAACCATTTACCAGAACGAGAAGGACAATATTCCTCTTCCGACTGATACCAAAGGCTACATGAGGGCAGATGAGAATGCCTTCTGTAAATACCACAAGAGGGAGGGTCACCCCACCAATTTCTTTCAAGCATTATAGATCACAATTGAAGAATTGATCCAGCAGGGTCATCTGGACAAATATGTGAATAAAGACCCGAACGTTGTAGGCATCCTGAAGCCGGTCAAGAAACCCAACAACTGGAGACGAGATGATCAGCGTGATGCTCAGCCTAGGAATGATGTTTATATTTCCCCCAGAGATGAAGCAGATGGTTCGGGGACCCCGGGAAAAAAGCCAAGAATGGAGGTAAAGATAATATTTGGGGGCGGGGAAACAGGTGACTCGAATGCCGAACG